AACATATGCCTATAAAGCCATAAAATAAGTAACTTGTGCGCACAAGATAATAACTTATGGGCACAAGATAAAAAAAATTTTTTGGGACTTCAGGGGCTTCGTAGGAAAAGCTTTAAAAGTTGAGTATGCAAAGTTCTACCAAATTTGATATTCAGCTTACAAACTAACAAACAAATATCACCTAAAATATAACCTACTTTGTCAGCCTAGTTAACCTAAAAGTTAGATGTGTCAGTGAATATCACAAAGATCAAATTTTGTTGTCAATTTTTTGTTTGTAGAACGATTGGAACATCGCCTATTATCAAAACGCATGTGTCCCAAAAAAGAAGGAGCACTGGCCAGTAACGAGTTCGTCTCCAAATTCAAGATAAGAGCCGATCAGAACAGCCAGACACCAGAGGACAGCGAGAGCCTGGAGGAGCAGATGGAGGCCGCCAACCTGTCAGATGGATCGGACGAATCACAGGGAAGACCCAACGGACAATCGTGATGTCGACGGTTGAGGGGAAGTTCGGAAAACAATAAAAGAAATTCTCAATATGTTTTAAAACCAGAGAGTGGAAAGTGGAAGGAGAAAAAAAGCCATTTACAATACAAAAGAAAGGTTTGTATTATATTTATATGTTGAAATGTACACTAAGATGAAGAGCAATGATGTCAAGCACAATGAGGTGAATGGCTAAGATCAATAGCGACAGTTTTGTATAATAAAGTTTATGGGTGAATAATAAAACCTCATTTTGTGATATTTTATCTTTTTCCCTTAATGAAATCTGTTGTAACCAGTGGTGGACTATAACTAAGTAAAGGTAAACTTAAGGTACTTGTTCTTTACTTTAGCCTTTCCTTTTCATGTCACTTTCTACTTCTACTCCATCACATTTCAGAGTGAAATATTGTACTTTTTTTTATTTATTTTAGTTACTTTACGAGTTTTTGCATAAGAAAACAAATGAAGATGTTATACAATTTGTCAATTAATCAGTCTGACAGAAAAATTAAGAGTAATTTCCTTCTCAAATGTGAGAACTTGTTGCATTTCTTTTTAATTATTTTCATATTTATCATGTGTTTTAACATAATTTTGAGGTGTTGACTGTTGGCTGGACAAAACAAGCATTGTGAGAGTGTCACTTTGGGCTCTTGTCATAATTTGTTACAAACAATCAATCAATGAATCAAGAAAATAATCAGCAGATTAATCCATAATGAAAACAGTCCTATTCAAAATAGTTGAAAATGATCTATCTCCAATTCAGCTTTTATATTAATGTATGAGCACTGATAATCTGATTTTATAAGATACAATAATATAACAGTCACAGGGGACATTTTTCCACATTGAATACCTTTTTTTTTTTTTTTTACTTTTTATTTGTACCTTCAATTAATAAATAAACCTCTCTAAAGTTTCTTTCATGGCATCCTATTTGAATTTCATAAAGTAAACATACGAATAAGAAACAAGAATCAACAACAGAACACAGAAAAACAAACAAATAAATGAAAAAATAAACACATAGTAAATGTATGTTAGATTTTTTGACATTGCATTGAACACATTTTAATTGCAGGAGTCTAATTGTAATTAGAGTAATTAGAGTATTTTTTTACAGTTTGGTGTTAATAACTTTTACTTTCTTCACCACTGATTATGGGGAGTGATGTGGTAAATGTATTTTGTGTATAATATAGTAATAATAATGAATAAAACCATGACATATTGTGACCTGAGGGTGGTGCTGCAGCAGGAAGGAACCGAAAAATAACCCGGAACATAAATAAAATGAACCCTGTGGACTCCAATCAACATGGTGGCTCTCAGGATTGACTCATGCTGACTGTAGTTAGGCACAAAGTTTGAGTTTTTTGCATTAATTAACTTACAGTTTAATTTCAGATTATGGGTCTATCTTAACCGGGTAGACTCCCTTTGTTAAGCCATGTTGTCATCAGTGGTTTTCAGCCTCACAGCAGCCTCCAGAGGGAAGGTCAGGTCGCTGGTCTCTCTGAGCCGGAGCCCCTCCACCAAGCAGCCTCTCTCCACCGATGGAACCCGCCACCTCACGCCCGAATCCAGCGCTCCTCTCCCGGACAGCGAAGCTGCGGAGACGCGGAGACCCAAAAAAGACCCCAGCGGCCGCTCCGTACTCCTCTTCCCCGGGCAGGGCAGCCAGTTTGTGGGCATGTGTAGGGGACTTTTGAAGTACCCTAACGTTAAAGAAATGTTCACGGTAGCCCAGAGGATCCTCGGGTACGACCTGCTGTCTCTGTGCCTGGAGGGACCCGAAGAGGAGCTGATGAAGACGGTTCACTGTCAGCCGGCGGTGTTTGTCACCTCACTGGCTGCGGTGGAGAGGCTCAACCATGAAAACCCCCAGGTAGATAAAGTCCCCTAAAATGTGCTTGTTTCAGCCCCACAAATGTGAGGGTTTACTGTTTTTCTTTCTTTTTCCTTCTCTTTAAATTTTACACAACACAACAAACAATTTTAACAGATCTCCTTAGACTGTGATGGCCATTTTTATCACAATGAATAAAAAAAGACCCAATATTTAATAATCAAAATGTGTATTAGTTGCAGCATTAGTCCCTTTAACAATAGTATTTGTGAATAATATTTTAGATTATTATTTTTCTGGGTTACAAAGTAGCCACAGCCATTTAGATGGCAAATAAAACTACAATTATTAGAGAAAAAAAACTACTACTAATAATAATAATGATTAGGACATATGTTGATTCTTAGTACAAGCAATATCACAACATATAAATACTTTATTATAAGTTCATCAGCAAGGGATAACAACAAGCTTTCTTGTGAAACACTGGATACTCTCACCTTGTCAAGCCTTAAAATTAAACAATCTGCTAATTTTACCAATTTTATACCCTGTTGGGTAGTTTTATCTATACAATGGCATCATATTTTAAAAGCTAATCATAAGTTATATAAAATCTTAACCTGCAAATCTATTGACACATTGTTGTACAATACTTGCAACTTAATTTGCTGTTCAGCATTTTAACTTATAAAGACAAATGTTATTTTATAACGTAGTCATGCTGTATGTTTTGGTTTAAATTTAGTAACTCATAAATATAACTGCAGAATAAATGTAGTAGCACAACATTTCACTTTTTAAAAAGTAACGGAGTATGAATATAAAGTGGCATAAAATGTAAATTCTCAAGTAAAACACCTCAAACTTGCACTTGAATGCAGCACCCTTATAAGAAGTTTCTTATGTTTAAGAGGACAAATCCAGTTATAAGAACACCTCAAGAACCATTTAGGATTGACTGTGACTCGAGGACAGCCGACCGGTGTCTTTTAAGCGACGTGTGTGTGCCTCATTCACATTAACTCTTACTAGAAGTGTGTGTGTGCTCATGTTTTTACTCCTCTGTCCACAGGCCATTGAGACGTGTGTTGCCGCTGCAGGTTTCAGCGTCGGAGAATTCGCTGCCCTGGTTTTTTCCGGTGCCATGAACTATGCAGAAGGTAAATAGGACATGTTTCCGATACTTCTACTGCACAAAGATGTAAATGGTGTTAGTCAATGTGTCATATATTTATCCCGTCTGTGTCTTCCAGCTCTGTATGTGGTGAAAGTACGTGCAGAGGCCATGCAGAAAGCGTCAGAGCTGGTTCCTAGTGGGATGCTGTCAGTCATCGGTAAACCACAGGCTCGGTATAACTATGCCTGTCTGCAGGCTAGAGATCACTGCAAGAGCCTGGGGATCAAGGACCCGGTCTGCTCGGTGGCCAACTACCTGTTCCCTGATGGCAGGGTCATCGCAGGACACCAAACGGTACAGAGCATTGTGCTGAACTCATACTGACTCCTCTTGTTGATATCTGTCTCATCGTTGCTGCGTTGTCTTCCCAGGCTCTGGATTTCCTCAAACAAAACTCCAGACAGCTCCAGTTCATGAGGGCCACTCCTCTCCCGGTCAGCGGGGCTTTTCACACTAAGCTGATGGAGTCGGCTACTGAACCCCTCAAAGAGGTGCTCAAACAGGTGGAGGTCAGTCAAACTTCATGATATATTCTTCATCCACTCTTGAATATTTTCTTGAGCAGGGGAGCGCTCTTTTAAACATATTTTATACAAAAAATTTGCAAACTTTGCTCTGATAGTCGCTGTTTCTGACTGTTTTTAAAACAATTATGTCTGAGTTTATTGCTTATTTCTTCCATTTTTGAATGTAATGTGTAGTTAATGTATATGTTACCTTGTTAAATATGGTGACACAATATCAATAAATGTTTTTGGCATCTAGCCCATCCTTAAGGCACACACTTATTTTAGACCCTCAGGTCACAGTATGTCATGTTTTATTTAGTTTACAGACGAATGTGATCAATCTAGGGATGCACAATATGGATTTATTTTTTCAGACGACACAATAATAAATTATTACTTGCTTCTCATAGCCGATACCATTGACATAACCGATAATTTCATGTTTTTTTTCCTCTTTTTAAAAAAAGAAGAAGTTCATAACCCGTAGTTTATGCATCCTTGATCGCAAGAAAGGCTGAGATGTAGTCAGCAAAGAAAGACGGGTGATTTATTATTCCATAGATCTGATCTAACTATTCAGATCACTATTGTTTTAAGTAAAGTTCATTAAAAAACTTTGCATATATACTTTAGCTTTAATAGAACATAAAGCCTGTCAATCAGTTTTGCATAAGAACTCAAAATAAGTTATTATTTTAATGAACTGATCATTTATTGGCTGTTTAGTTATTAGGATCATTAATAATAATTTAAATTTCCCATTATCTGCCAATAATTTATTCATTGTGCACTCCTAGACTAATCTATCCCTCATGCTTTTCAAGACAATTTGCATACATGGGAATGTCCAAAACAAAAAAAAAGCAAAAATGTCAAACTTGATCTTGGAACTGTTTTTTCACTATTTTCTGACATATTAAAGACAAAACCAATTGAAAAAATAATTGCAGATTAATCGATTCATGAAAATAATCGTTAGGTGCAGCCCTGTAACAAACCTATCGTTAACCTACAATTGTAAATGGAAAAAACATTAAGGGGTCACGAACCCTTTAATATTAACTTCATCCACATCTTGTTCAGGGTTTCTGCAGGTTTCAACAGGTTAAATTAAATACATTTTAACACGTATTGTAAGTCCATTATGAAAGCAATTTAAGACCTATTTTACAAACGATAGAAAGGGAAATCTATATTTGTTCCATGTCGGTTTTGCTTTGTAATTGTTACAGCTTGATCAATACACTTTTTTCCCGAAAACACATCAAAGACATGTCAAATTAATATTTATATTTAAAATATTATGGCATAAAATTCAGATTATAGAGCTACCACTCTTGGAAAAGTTGCACACATCGACTGATTTAGTACTTCTACATCTAACGCCTCTCTGTTTTTCACCCCCGTTCAGGTCCGTCGTCCTGAGATCAACGTGTACTCCAACGTGGATGGCAAACGCTACATGAACGAGAGCCACGTGCGCAGGATGCTGGTGAAGCAGCTGGTGTCGCCTGTGAAGTGGGAGCAAACTCTGCACGAGATCTACGAGAGGGCGCAGGGAGAGAAGTTCCCTCGCACTTACGAGGTCGGCCCGGGGAAGCAGCTCAGAGCCACACTCGTAAAGTGTAACAGGAAGGCCTCAACGAATTATGCAGACGGGACAGGCATCACTAATGAAGACTAATAATGCAGAGATGTTGACTCTGTGATGAAAACAGCCAAGCAGGAGGTCAAAAAAATGGACCTCAGTGCTCTTCTTTTTTTGTGTGTGGACATAAACCTGCAAGCTCCTGTGGTTGCTTCTTACGGTCTTTTTTTTTGTGTAGTATTGTGTAATTAAATGCCTGTAGTTTTTATTAAAGAAGACGACAAAATGTTGTCATTTAGAAGTTTATTTGCGTCACATTAAAAAGCATTTTCAAGTCTGAAACAGAAAGTCCAGCTCCCTTAAGTTTATATTAAGCCAGGCTACATATCAATTCATTACAAAATTTTGGCCTCTTAAACCAGTAAGAAAGTAATCAGGATACAAAAGACTGCAGGCCAGCAACAGTCCAGTCATGGGTAACTAGGCTTTTTTGACAATTAATACAACTGTGAACCAATATGTCACTGCTACAATATGCTGGCCAACACTGTAAAACCCATTTGTATTTTTATTTTATTTTTTACTCCTGTTTCCGGTGTCAAATTCAGTGCCGTTGAAAATAGTGTAAAAGGAGAAGTAAAAGTAAACAGCAGAAACAAATCAGTTAGAAATAATTGTCATTCATTTGCAAACCCTTTTTTTTTTTTTTTTTGTCAAACATATAATGGCCGAAAAAGACCTGCTTATGGCCCATTTTAGGCTTTCCATTCCATCCATAGTGCACCGAAAATGGTCACCGCAGCCACCAGTGCCACAGTCACCAGTGCTCCTCTGGTCCAGCCAGCGCAGGTTACTGGTTTAAAGTTGGACACCTGTGAAATGAAAGAAAATGAGCTCGACTATTCTTTCAAGAGAGATGTGGATTTATATTTGTGTGCAATCAGGAAAATGATTAATTAGATTTATTCATTTCCCTTCTCAAATTGCGCTTTTAAACCCTTCTTGTTAAAAGTGTCTGTATTGTTGAAGGTAATTTCCTATTAGTTCATCCCTAATCTGATTGCAGGCAGGATTGTCGGTCACTATGGGAGCAGGGGAGCGCTCTTTTAAACATATTTTATACAAAAAAAATTGCAAACTTAACCCCCTTCATACAGTCGTGACCCTTACAAAAGGGTGTATTATGAGCTATCACTATTTTGTGGAGTTACAGGCTAGGTTAGAGAAACACTTGTTCCCCTGTACACCTGTTGTAATGTTAGAACAGATTAAAGATTTATTCATAATACTGTACTATAACACTAGTGCAAACTATCTCTACGCTGAAACACTCACACAAATCATTATGTTTCAGCTTGTGGGGAGCATATCTATTTTTCCCAGGGTCCTAAGTTCCCTAACCCCTAACCCTAGAACCGGGGAACCCTGAGAACATATGCTCCCTTTGGCATGTTCCCCTTATGTACCATATAATTCTTGGGAACATACAGTAGGACCATGGGAACACAGGAATGACCCCAACTGGTGAGGGTGCAGACTGTTTTTGTTTTTGCCAGAGACACAGCGTTAGAATAAAATCTGCAAGTCGTCTTTCCAGTTGACAAAAATCCACAGTCGGCGACTAGAAAAGCCGCTTTGGTCCACTTCTGTCTGTAAATCGAGGACCTTTTGTTTAAAATACCAAGAATTATTAAAGTTATAAATCTGGCCCTGTGGCGCGCCGTACTAGAATGGAACACTAGACGACGAGTCTAGCAACAGTAACTATAGGGTAGAGCAAAAGGTCAGCTGAGATTTGTTTATAAGTGTAAATACTATGTAAATATAAATATATAAACAGTCTATGGTTGAGCCACGGATGTAATACCACATGAGTTTTACCCAGGTCGCCCAGGTGTCCGCTCTGAGGATCCCCTGCCCAGGTGCAGTGCTCGCTATCCAGGCCTTCACTGCCGCGGACAGGCCCTGGAGGCCCCATAACTGGCTGTGGAAATCCCTGCAAGAGAGCAGCACCAGGTTGTAATATCTTAACGGCCAGTAACACAAAATAATAGAGAGAAAGATGTGTTTTTTTTATGTTTTTATACCGATAGATGGTCCGGGTCAGTGCCTGAGCGGGTCTCAGCATGTGGAGAGGAGTTGGTAGCCAGTTTGGCTGTCTGTTGGCCCATTCCTGGTCCAGCTGATCTCCAATTACAGCCAACTGGCGCCCGAAGGCCCGTGCAGCCCTGTCATTGATCCTGAAGGAGGAACTGACATTTCTCTATTCATATTCATCCAGGGCAAAAAAAATCCTATACCCAAGTGATTCTCCAAACAAAAGCCTTTTACATTATATTATATATATTATTAAATTGTTTTAAAGGCAGTCTGTTTTCACTGTACCTGAGGTTCATGTCAAACAGGGTGCCAATGTCCACCTCACCAGGTCCAGCCTGGAGGGATACGACACGACTCGGCTGTCTTGTTTGTTCCACCATGTTGTTTTCTGAGAGCAGAGTTATGGCAAATTAATCATATCAGTACATGAGAGTGTGAGAAAGGACTTTAACAGCCACGCAGGGCAGTTTACTGGCTCCATGGTTTTAAAAGGTGTTTGTGTGTTATCCTTGCTCAACGCCAACGTTCATAAACAGGCTGTGTAAATACTTGGGTCATGTGACCAGGATAGGTGCAGGCTGTGTTACCGGGGAGAATATCCATGTTGATAAAAAAACAGGCTCTCCTGGGTTTAAAGAGGTGACATCATCTTTTGGATCAAGTCCAGTGGTTGTAGCCCACGTACTATTGCAAGAAAAGTGTATGGAAGTTCCCCTTCAGATGGTTAGGAGTAGTTTATGCACGAAACTGAACATCTAATCTACCTTTTATGACTTGATTTACGACTTATTATTCTCAGTTTTACCCTAACAAACAGGTTTGCTCCCTCCTACGTGCACCTGTCCTCAGACCAGTTCCTGTTGTGCCTGCACTTTAATGCAAATGCTCCATTTCCATAACTCAAATCAACCAAACGGCCTTTTTGTACTAAAAGAAAAAAGAAATAAGACTCGTTCCAAAGAATCTACTTGTAGGCTTTAAATATTTGTTTGCTTACAAATCCTGAGTTAATCTACCATAAAGTATAAAAAAGGTTTTCCTTGTGTGTAATTATAGGGATTTATATTTACATTGTTTACACCAATTTACCATTAAATCATATGTGGGAAATATTATAATATAATCATACCCTATACTCCAAAATGTTACAGAGGCCAGTTTAAAGTATTAATCATGAAATAGCTTATAGTCCTTTGTCATATTGTCAAAACAAAGAGATGAAGTCATCTTTCTAACCCAAAGCAAACAAAGGTCGTTTTGAAGATCACACATATTGGATTACGCACAAAACCCGCAGATATGAATTAATCTGAACTACATTTCCAAAATACCTAGCATATTGTATCATGTTGAAATGTTATCAAGTTAAATATTAAACGAAAAGAATATAAACGCTCTCGTCTAGACAGTCAAACAGGTGCAACAACAATAAAAAGAGAAAGTAAAACCTACCTTTCGGGTAGATTAAAGTAGACGCCGCCCTGTAATACATATAAAGACATTATTAATGGAAATGTTTAAGAAATAAAGAAAATAAAGAAACATCTTTTCCAGTACTTACAGCAGCGTCCTTTAATCTTGATGCTCTCAGGTAACTGCTGCAAATATGATTGGCCACGCCTTTACCTGCTGCTACCAAAGGTGACGAGCAGGGGGCGACATCACCCTCACATAACTTTAGAAAAACAATAACAGAAGAAAGTTTTGTTTAGCTTTACCGAAACGTGTTTCTGCTCTGCTAATAATAAAAAAAGGAAGTGGATGTTTTTTCCCATTATAATATTTTATATTTAGATATTTCTCTCTGCTTCATGTTACAATTGTAGAGCTGCTATGTATATGCAGATTTTTGTCTGATGTTCACCTGTTATTATGTCTTAATGTATGTAATAATGTAATAAACACTCTTGTTTAATTATTTACTGTTGCACTTGTATACATTTATAATAAAAATGTAAATGTTCCAATAAAATAAAGCAAACTCTTCTTTTCTAAATATTTGTCTACCTCCTTTATTTTAATTTTTATTCATGGTATATGTTTGCCCTTAATCTTTAATGATAATTTGGTTTCGTTAGGAAGGTTTGTAATATATAAACAGAATATGTAACAAATGATAATAACTGTGTCACAATGTTATTAAAGCATTTTTGCAACATTTTTTGACTGATTTCACTGATAGCCACCAAAATGTAATATTACACTTTTCCATACAAAATTTACAGAATATGTGACGAAGTTATAACAATTTGAGATTAATATGTATATCTAGGTGTCCTTTTCT